AAATTTAATTAACGTTTGTGTTAAATTTTGATAATTTTATTAATAACATCGACCTAATTTTAATAATAAATATTAAATTCCAAAATATTCTTTACCTATTACCACTGTGTTGTGCGAATAATAATAGAAAAATAAACGTGCCCTTTCCCTTTAATATTCGCATATATCCCTGTTCAATAATACACAATAATATACACGTATATACGCTAGCGACATATTTACGTTGTACGGTCGCTTGTCTGTTTACTGCAGTACCATACACACACGCTACACACATAACTAATATCGAAATAGGCAGCCGTCGCTTGCCTACGATAAACTTATTTTTTTTCGTTTTTCTTTTGTTTGCGTGTACGCTACACTAATCGGGTCGGTCGATTGTGGCGTGTTGGCACGTTTGGAACAAAGTAATATTTTTTTTGTAAATTGATTAGTAGTGTGTGTATGAACAAATTGAAAGCTACTTTTGGACATTTTAGCTTATCGTTTACCCTACAGTCCGCAATTACGACAGTGTTCATCGGTTTGTAAAAATTATTATTTTTATTGTAATTTGAAATAAAAATAGTAATTTTTTGCCGTTTTCATTAAAAATTTGTGTCGTATATATCGAATTATTTATTAATTTTCTTGATATTTCATACATTTATATATTATATTTGTGCAGTTTTTGAGATTTTGTCGAAAATCTATACTTTTGGTGAATTTTATTCAACTTTCGAGACGGAAGTAGGTTTGTTTCTGCAAATTATTGAATCTTTTCGGATATTTTTTGGTAAATTTTCGAATTCTTATCGATTTTCTAAGGAAATCTTAGCAAATTTTGCTGTTTTTTGGGGAAGAAATTTATTTTGTCGTAGCGATTTCAACTTGTTGTCAGCTTTTTATTGGAAAAGCTTTGGTTTAAATCATAACTAAATAGTTTTTTCTTTTGGATAATTTCTCGTGTTCGTGCGATTAAAAAGAAAATTGTAATTATGCCTTCTACTCCTCTAAATACCTACATCAGAGTTTCGGACGCTCTAGTCAAAATGTGTGATAAACTTCGGGCTTTAAAGGAAGATGATGTAGATATCTTTGTCTTAGAAGTTAGAAGTGCCGAATTAAGCAAAAAATGGGCAAGTGTAGAAAATTCGTTTGAAAAATGTATTTGCTTTTTAGAATCGTCTGAGGATTCATGTCAGGAAGATGTCGATTCTGTAGATTCGAAACAGGAGGTCGTCTATGACATGTATATGGATTGTCTAGCAATGATAAACCGGGCCTTGCACAAACTTCGGCAAGAAAGCGTTCAAGTAAATCGGGATCCGTCTGGTATTCCTCAAGAAGTCCACACACAGTCTGCACATTCTACGGAAGTCCAGGCTAGCGATACTGATTTAAATAAAACGAACTCGTCCACCCACACTTGTCGAAATGTGGGTACTCAGGCTTCTAGCTCCCCAATATCAAGTATTGGGATTCCTAGAGGTAATTCGAGTTTTAATGTTGAGCCAGAAAATTTAGACATTGTCCATAATCTAGCGTTGCCTCCTTGTGATACTGATATTTTCGAGGGCGATTTTCTTTCGTGGCCAACCTTTAGAGACATTTTTAGCGCGGTATTTATAAACAATTCACGGTTGAGTGATATTGAGCGTCTTTGTCATTTGACGCGAAAAACTAGAGGGGAAGCTCGCGAGATTGTTTCCAAATTCCCCTTAACGAACCGCAGTTTTGGTCTGGCGTGGAACGCTTTGAAAGCCACTTACGATAATCCTCGTATGTTGATTCATAATCAGTTTAATATATTATTTGCCCTTCCGGTACTTCAAGTTGAGACAAGTTCGGGTCTTAAACAAATCCAGCGTGGTATCAATGGTTGCTTGTCCGCAATGTCCATTTACGACGTTCGTGCGGATAATTGGGATCCATTCTTAGTTTTTATTTGTCTTCAAAGGCTTCCGAAAATTACACAAACCTTGTGGGAGCAAAGTGTTAAAGTCAAGTCATCTGTTTCGCTTTGGGAAGACCTCGATCGATTTTTAACGGAACGGATTCAAACACTCATGTGTCTCCATGGTATGCGAGGAAATGACTCAGTCAAAAAATCTGGCGATAAAAAACTTCAAACCCACGTCTCGCAAACACAGTCTTATTGTAATTCCCCATCTTCTCCTAAGAATGATTGTATTCTTTGCCCTCAACAGTCCCATCAGCTTTTTGAATGTCCTCGATTCAAAAGTATGTCGCTATCGGCTAGATTTTCCACAGTGAAACGTCGTAGATTGTGTGTGAATTGTTTGCGTAGGGGGCACGAGGTGAAAACTTGTATTAGTCAGCATCGGTGTTCGAAATGTAGGCGTAGCCATCACACATTATTGCATCGTAGTGGCACATCACCCAATAATTCAATTTCTTCCGTTGGTTCGGTAAACCGAAACTCTACAAACTCACCAAATCCTGTCCCTATCAATCCTTCTGTCCCATCCACATCAACTAGTGCTTCTCGTCAAGTTTTCCACACGGCTCATAATAAATCCGTTCTATTGGGGACAGCTATTGCAAATGTCGTCCATTGTGGTGTTTCGTATCCCGCTAGGGCTTTAATAGATCCAGCATCAGAATCATCGTTTCTGACTCAAGGCTTGCAGAATAGGTTGAAACTCCCTGTAAGTTCAACAGATGTCACTGTTTCTGGGGTGAATTGTACAATTTCGGCCAATTCTAGTAAAATATGCTCGTTGCAAATTGGAAGTCGTTGCGATCCTTCAGTGGTTTTAGAAACTCGTGCCGTGGTTTTGCCGTCCATTTCGGGGAATTTGCCCTCGTTTAATGTCTCGTCGGATTTTAGAGCCCAAGTGCCAAATATTCGTTTGGCAGATGATGATTTGTTTAATCCACGTCCTGTGGAACTTCTTTTGGGTGCAGACTTGTATCCACAAATTTTGTTGGAGGGTTCTCAGTCAATTCTTTCTGGGACTTTGCTGGCTCAAAATTCTGTTTTCGGGTGGCTTGTAACTGGACCTATCCCATCGTCAGAGATTCGTACCTTTGCCACTTTAGTTGACCGCCAAAATTATAATAGAAATTATATGATTAGATCGAATAAATCGGGGCGATCCACTTTGGCCCGCTACTAATTGGAGTAGTGTAATGTGTAGTGTAATGGCTCCCCTAAAATCAATTTAACTTCTCATCTAGAAGTTTCTGGCCTCTGAACTTTTGAAAAGTATTGTGAAGAAAACAATTATAGAATTTCGTAGTGTTTGGTTCTACGGATGCTATTCTCTCGTGGTTGATCAAAATCCCTTCGAAGGCATTAACTACAACTGGTGTAGATTTCGTTGATCCTTTGAAGGTAAATTCGTTCACATGTCCGTTTGTCTAGTTTACCAAAGGATATGTTTGTGGATTCCTGCGTTTATCTACCAAAACGATTTATTCCACTCGAGATTTTTGAAAAATGTATGTCGTAATTTGGGGCCAGTTAATTGTGAAAATCATGATCTTATGTCGCTGCTTTACTACTCCGGCCTCTCGTGGCATTTTATTCCAGCTTGTGTTCCACATATGGGTGGATTCTGGGAAGCGAGAATAAAAAGTTGTAAGCCACACAGTTCAAAGCAAGTTAAATTTGAGGAATTGACAATCATATTGGTCATATAATCTTGCTTAAATTCGTGTTTCCAACCTAACTAGTTGCTTTGACCCAGATCATTTCTTCATAGGCACGTCGTTTCTTTCTCCTCCTGAACCTGTCGTAATTGACTAACCTATATCGCTTGTGAATAGGTTTCGTAAAGTTCAAGAGCTTGCTAATTTGTTTTGAAGTCGTAATCCATAACGAGAAATTACACGGTTGGCTTGTCACGTCAGAATCGTTGACGTTCGGTCGACAACAGGCATTGTAAAGCGGCCTATTTCTAAATTGATTGCACAGAAACATAAACGGAGTCCGTTACTGCGGATCCGAATCTATAGTAAACAATTTCTTAAGAAAATAAAATCGAAATCCGTCTCTGCGGATTTAAGCAATACTAGACCCGTATCTTCGGGTTCAAAGTATAGAATCCATAACTGTGGGTTCAATCGTGATGACTCCCTTGGAATTCACGCCATGTTCGTATGGTTGAATCAGGGAGAACGTCCGTTACTGCGGGCGACTCGTATGTTGCACTTTAGATTTGTTACTTGAATTTTGAGAAAAAAAAAACTTGAATTAAATTGCTCACACACTGCACCGCCTACCATATTATTATATATAACTTTATTTAACTATATAAATGGAATATCTGTGTTACAACATAAATAATGTTGCAAGGTGGGCGCCAATGTTTAAGTAAGAATCGCCTTTATATGCATTGTTGGGAAATGCATCCTTTGAACGATCGTGTTCATTGTGTTTGTTTGCATACTCATTAGAAAACTTCATACTCCTTATTGTTACAACATTGAACTGTCAGTTTTCTAATGAGTATTGTTTGGCGCCAATGTCACTTTGCAGCATTGTTGTTATTGTTCTTCTCCTTCTCGTATCGATCGCTACTCGTAACACAGGTAATCTGTTCTTTCTCCTTTTCTTCCCCTATTATTATTTATATTTAATTTATCAATAAAATTCTGGAATCAGAAACTAAAACGTTCGTGTTTTATTTCTTTCCCTTTTTCGAAACGCAATTTCGGCGCCTTTACATTAGTGTTAATAAGAATTAATGCAAATACAAACATATATATTTTACAATTTGAATGAAAAATGTTATAGATAGGCAATTACAAACGATTCATTTAATCAATAGTAATGTAAATATATTTTAATAATTATAATAAAAATTAACTATTGAGATTTTTTTAATAGTAATAATAAGTAATTTATATAATTCTATATATAAATATTTTTTCTATGTATACTCTTTATAAATCGAGAGAGAACCAACAAAAATCATAATAAAAATTAACAAAATAAATTAAAAAAATGAAACTATTATTATTTTTTTTTTAAATTTCTAATTCTATATATGCGTGTCTATATTAACTATATATATTTATAAATGTGTGAGTGAGTGTAACTAGTATTCCATTTCATCCTCATCATCACTGTGACACAGTAGTTTGCTACAGAAAAGAAACAAAAATACAAAATTGAGCGGTGTGAAGAAAAATCAACATAAGACACAAAAAATTTAAATTTTCTGCTTTTTGTTTGTTTCGTTGTGTGGAGTAGAATTGAATTCGTCTTGTTTTTTTTTATTGGAGAGACGGTGATAAAGTTCGGTGTAATAGAGATATGATGATAGTAGCCATTGGCGTAGTAGGAAACTAGTATGTTGTTGATACGAGTTGTTTGGAAAATGATGATGGTGAATAGTTAGTACTTATAGAGTTCAATGGGACAGGAAACGGAAATTCATTCATATCAGATAACAAATACACACATACACAGTGATTTACACATGCAATGGACAAACAAAATTGAATTCGCTAAGGAACTACAACCAACCACTAGAAAAGAAAGTAATTAGTAGACAAAAATATGAAAAAGAGAGAAAAAAAACAAATTACATGCCATTATTAAAAAATGCTTTATATGATATAATGATATGATTTGAAGGTTTGTGTTGTAATTGTTTACTAAATATTAATAAATTTTTTTGCGATCTAAAAATAAAACTTAATTTCGGCTATGCCGAACATCTAATAACCACCATGACCATCATATTGGGATTAGCAAAAAATAAATCTCAGTATTCAAAATTTTGCATTGTACGGTAATTATTTTAAAATCTCTGCAAAAATACATTTGCATTTGCTGCAAGGCCGGCATAAATTAACTCAACTTTAAAAGTAATTACATCTAAATTTCATAAAAAAAAATTATCTCAAATATTTATTTTTATTGTCCAATGTTTGATAAATCTTAAGAAACTAAATTCTTATTAAATTTATTGGTATATTTCGAAATCACGATATATCTCGGAAATCGATCCATTTTAATACCCAACACCAGTGCCAGGAAATTGTGGACCCTGGGTCGATTTAATATATACTCCACCATGCAGTGTAGTATATGAAATTTTTATAACTCGGGAATTAGAGTAACTTCGAGTAATGTGGACCATGCGTCTAATGTGGACCACCCCCATATCTATGAAAATGCTTGAAATATGTCAATGCCGCCTTGATATATGTTTTCCTAATTAGTAAAAACAAATGTCGGATATGCTTTTTAGTACATAATTGCAATGTTGAAAATTTAGTTAAGCTCTTATTGAAATTTGTGATTTGAAAAGTTTTTTTTATCACAAGAGTCAAACAATTTGTTTTTCTCAATTATAAAGAAGTTATATAGAACATTATTTTTTCAATAAAAGTGTACGTTTAGATGTAATTACAATCGGTTAGTTTTAATTTTTATTTATTTTTTAAGCCAAAAAATATTTTTAAATAAAAAATGCAAAGTCGGGTAATGTGGGCCACTGTAAAAAAACTGGGCATTTTCATGGGGACAAGTTCCAAACATGGTCCCATATTAAAAACATTTCTATGAGGAGGTACTCTATCCTCTGAAAACTCGATATGTGAAAATACAGCTGCTTCGGTTGGATATTGAAGCTATGACCTTCAAAATACCGCAAATGGGGCGGTACCATTAAATGGGTTCATACCCATATATATTTGCATTCATTGTTACCCAATCCACAACCTACCTTTTAACATACTGGTCCACTTTACCCACACATACTGGTCCACATTACCCGCCAAGTTGTTTTTATTCGCAATTATGAGTTTTTTTAATATAATGCAATAACATTTTTATAGTCAAATATATATAATGTTTGACCTGGGATATATTTAGACGACAAATCTACTATATCGTGAAAACAATTTGTTTTAATTTTTTACCGTTGGTACGCCCCCAAAAAAAGAACATTACTCGAAGTTACACTACTTAAGTATATGAAAAAAGTGCATAGTTTTAAGTTAATTGATCTGTCGTTGCAAACTGTTCATGATATTGACTTCCAAACTTTATTTTGGTGGAAGCTGCGTCTACTTTAAGGGGACCCCCCATTCTCGGAGTCAAAAATTTTTATGATTTAATTCGAATCTACTCTAATTCAAGAATGTCCCTAAAAATTTATTGTGTCAGCATCAAGTGACGGCTGAAGGGCTTCTCAAACTTTAAACGCGTTTTTCTCTTTTGCAAATGGCGGGCACGATAACTCAAAAACTAATAACCCAATCGATTTTTTACACGTTTCTCTTTGGGTGTACAGCTATCGTATGAACTAGGATAAAGCCAATCGGTGAAGATCTTCCTTATTTTTTAACTTGGTTTTTGGTCAAAAATCGGCGATTTTCCAAAAATATTTTTTCAAAGGTCCGCCATCCTGTTAATTTTAGAACGAGTCACTGGAACATCGGAATCCGAAAATTCCAACGGCTTTAGAAAGAACACATGCCTGTCTCACGTATGAACTAGGATTATTAACTTCGCTTTAAAATTAACAAAATGGCGGACCTTTGAAAAAATATTTTTAGAAAATCGACGATTTTTTACCAAAAAACAAAGTAAAAATAAGGAAGATCTTCACCGATTGGCTTTATCCTAGTTCATACGATAGCTATACACTCACAGAGAAACGTGTAAAAAATTGGAATCGATTGGGTCGTTAGTTTTTGAGTTGAGTTTGAGTTCGAATTAAATCAAAAAAATGTTTGACCCCGAGAATGGGGGAGGTCCCCTTAAATTAATTTTTAGGTGTGTGTATGTCATTATTATAATGAAAATATTGAAGTAATCTATTATATTTTTATTATTTTTCTCATATTTTACGAAGATGTGCAACTTTTTCGCGATTATTATAATATGTTCATATTCTTATTTTACGGAGGAAGATCTATATCAACGTTTTTGGTCAATATAAGAAACGGCGTAATTTTAAGATTTTTTTCTTATGCCCAAAATTAAAACCTCGATAACTTTTGCGCGCATCAGCCAAAACTTTGATCACGAACGGTTTCGGAGTCAGAACGTTTTTCTCTATATGTGTACCAAAAATCATTGATGTACCACAAATGGAATATTAAAAAATTGGCAATATTGCCCATATATTCTTTATTAGAATAATATTGTATGTCTAATTCTAATTAAAAAAGCTTGAGCTTTAAAATTGCAAACACATTGCGAATATTCCTAGAATGTTCGGTATTGAAAATGGGATATATAAAACACTATTTTTGTTTAGCGCCCATATATAGTGTTTCCGTCCCAATTTGCGTATTTTAAAAATTGTATCCGCAATTTTCAACTGAAGTGGCATTATGTGATAGTACCAATTACCGAAAAGGTGGGAACTTTTATGTAGGAATTATATTTAAACTTGGACCTACATAGACAATTTTCCGCACACATTTTATTTTACCATCTAATTGGGAAATTAAGCAAAAAACCTTCAAAATATTGACAAAGTGAGGCTGAAGTCTTTAAAGTAAAGATGGCCCTTTATATGGGAACTATCCCAAAACGTAAACCGACATTAATAATATTTGGTAGGAAGATTTTATACTCCATTGGAATTTGAAAAATCAAATTAGAACGAAGTTCGTAGAAAAACATGCCCCAACCCTTAAAACACCCGTCTATGGGGGCTACCCGGAAACTTCGGCAAATCTTGATAATTTTCAGTAGAGAAATTTTCTACTCAATGAAAATACAAAATATAAAATGACAGCTAATTTGGTGGAAGCTTGTGCTAAACCTATCTAAACTACTGAAATTTGAGATGTAGCGTTATATGGTCGATTCCCCAAAAAGTGAACCAATATTGATCATTTTTGGTAAGAAGATTTGACACCCCATGAGAACACGAAAAATCAATATAAATTACCGTTATTTGGGGGCTATACCAAAACGTGGACCGATTTTCCCCAATACCAACCATACTCGGAGTAATAGCAATGCCAGTGCAAAGCTCTATCAAAGCTCTATCTCAAATATTGCAATCTCTATCGTGATTTCAACAGACAGACGGGCGGACACGCATAAGTCAGCATAGAATTTTAGTCTGATCTAGAATAGATACTTTATGAGGTCTCCGCTGAAAATTTAATATACATTCTAACTTATGGTGGAGGGTATAAAAAACTACATGATAACAAACCATCTAACCATTAAAATAAGGAATATAAAACAATAGAGTTTGATACATTGATTACACATAGTAATATTTTTACCAAGCCTGTATTAAATTCGAAGATGGGGTCTATCGGGGAGTATTCATTTGCTCTTTGATAAAACCACATATGATATATAAACCGAATGATGAATCCTTTGTGGTCTAAAGTTTGGGGAGCTTCATATATATATACTTTAACCATAGATTTAGTGCCACTAATGGCCACAAACTGTCAATATTTAGGAAAATTATAAATTTAATAAAAAATGGTTCCACCTCCACACGAATCGGTAATTCCGTAGACATCCGCATAGCAAACACTTTCATTCATGTTTTAGTTTGATTTGCTTCCCCTTATTTTTCAAATTATTTATTACATTATTATCTATTACTTCATGACTTGCAAAAAATTAATGATTCTGTTGGCAAGGGGACCGACCCGGTTAACCCTTGCAAATAGGGTAATTATTTCGGAAGATAGTAAACGGACGGACATTAGTCACTCTATATATTAGGGCAGCCAAATTGTTTGCCGAATAAATCCAGCCCATGTCATGAATCAATGGACAATTTTAAGCAACTTTGGTGAAGGAACCATAGGTCTATCTCGATTTTCGATTCTCCAACTTTTCCCCTATAATATTATTTTGATTCAAAATTCGATTTTTTATTCATCGTTATATTATCTTTTTCATCATTTTTGGGGTCGAGAAATTCATTTCTGATCTTTATTTTTACCAATGACCACAGCCAGATAGCGTTTAGTACATATTTTAACTATTTTTCGTCTATTTCTGAGAAAACCGAATACATAAGGAAATCTAATTATGTTTGGGGTTAAAAACCCCCTGTGATGTTCAGAATTAAAAAAAAAAACACCAATTATTTTTTATGTTAATTGTGAAAAAATATTATCAACTAAATTGAAAGTAATGT